TGTATTCACACATCACACCTAAGTCATGATTTGTTATTGAATAAATCACACTAGTTGGGTTCATCACACAAAACCCTAAGCCAAAATGAAACACATTATATTTTGTGATACGAGTTCAGTCAGCCTCTTACGTTTGCAAAAAAGAGGTTAGCACAAAATCAGATACGCTGTTTAAGATATCCAGTGTTGGCAGGGTTTGAGTACTTTGTAAAGCTACTCTTCCCACTCACCCACAAAAGTATGTAATACAATTCTTATTATAATTAAGGTGCAGAATAAATTATGCCTAATAAGATAACTGTCCTTTATAAATAGATTGCAGTGCTCTTTAGTAGATGATGTTGATTTTAAAATGCACATAGATTTTCTCATGGCTGATCTCTATATCAAAAAATACCTTTCTTATTTGTTTGCCAGCTGTTCCTAAAAGTAATAATGGCAGCTACCAGAAGGAACCATTTGCTTCTGTAAAACAATTAAGCAGTTTGAAAAAGAATGTTCAAATTTCTCTGCTGTTCTGACTGAGTCTCTCCCTCTTCCTATGGATCATTAAGGAAGGGTATAACAAATGCTTCCATGGTGTGAGAAAAAGCCCAGGTACTTTTTTCCTTTTCTAGACAATGCAAAGTGTGGGTGTAAGAAGAAATTTGGAAACAGATCTCAGCTTGGTGAAATAGACGGGAAGTACTGAACAGGTTTATTTGGACATTGTATATATATTGCATGATTCGGACTCACATCAGAGTGCTGGATTAAGCTGGAAAGTCAATGCACAGCAGAGGATCAAGCAACCTTACTGTCCACCATGCTGTTTCTATCACAACCCCAGAATGCCCTCGCCATAAAAACCTGTCAGGGTCCTTTTCTGTTATTTCCTTCTCTTTAGAAATGAACTGACTGGACTGACATATGGTGTGAAACCCTTGTGTTGAATTAGATGTTTAAGGCCAAACCTTTGGGAATTGTGTTTATATATAACAAGTCTGTATTTACAGCTTTAAACAGCAATTAATCTAAAATGCCATATAATAGTATAACAGAGGTGTTGTCAGATATGACAACCCACTCTTTCCTGGTGTGATGTTATATTTAAGAGATGTACAAAAAAACACAGGCATCTTTTGGGTAAGATAATATAATGAATAACTCAGCAGAGGTCAAAATAACTTGAAATTGTAAGTTTGAGGACCAGTCCAGGAGAAAGATTCCTAAACTTACAATTTCAAATTATTTTGACCTCCGCCGAGCTTATTCATTATATTTTCTTACCCAAAAGATACCTGTGTTTTGTGTACAACTCTTAAATATAACATCACACCAAGATAAAAAGATCCTTGCTATCTTCCTCTAAATAAGGAGTCATCACTTCCACCCTTTTAAAGAAAGAAATATAAAGTGGACATATGTCACTGAGTATGAAATCTTTTACCACATTTTCATATGATATTTGTGGTATTCCCAAAGTTCGTTCAATATGTCTTGCATTGTTCATACCAATAATAGTATACAAATATTTGTATGAAACATAACAAAAAAAGCAAAATCACTTTGAAAATACATAGAGGTACAGATACTAATAGGACAATTTGTGATTAAGAAAACAGAAGATGAACAGAATTCAAACTTTATCTTTATATTGATAACTTTTAAGTCAAAAAGACTTTAGAAACCAACAATACTAAAACAACGAAGGTAGCTGAACATAAAAATATATCCTAATAAAAGTGGCAATTAGGAGTTTATGGCTTTTAGGGAATGGGATGAACTAGTTGCTGACTTTTAACTGTTTCCTCTGCCCCCTGCCC